TTAAGGGATAATGGCCAGTCAATAAAGAAACCTGATTTTATAAGTAAAATTGTGAACAAAAACGTGGGTGAAATGACCGAATGCAGTAATATGCCTTCTTGTTTGCTATAATTGCCGTAATGAAAGAAGAAAACGAAAAAATGAAACTGAAATTCTACATGAACAGACAAAAGAGATACAATTTGGAAGAGAATTTCCCTGTCGAGAAACTTTGCGCAGATGATTTCGGAAACACACGATATCAAATTACGATTCCGCTTAATTAGTTATTTTGTTTTAGAAAGATTTCTGTCTACTTTCTGCGAAATTTGGATAATTCGGTCTAAAAGGAAGTCAGCACATTTACTTAAATTTAAATGACAGAGAAATGATAAATTTGGTTTTGGATTGCAAAATTAAATATTTCGAAAAAATAGTTGCTTTTCTATCATTCGTCAAGAAAAAAATTGATAACCAATTATCTCGGCAAAATAAAATAACCGGATGGTTGGAAGTTAGTTTTATCGTAAAAAGCGAATAAGAAAGGATAAGAAGCGCAATTTCATTTTTTTTAACCACGAATTGTTCCGATATTCCTTTTTCATTGTTGAAGAAACTATTTTTAGACACTGTATATATCCACTCAGGTTTTGTGTAATAGATCTCAATCTTTCTTTAGCTTTACAAATTATTCTCCTTGAAAAATTACCGTATTCAAGAATAAATTTACAGTGTTACAATAGTTGTGAGGTTGGGGTCAATAAATCAGTAACGAGTAGAGTGCTGACTAAAATAAACAAAAAGATGGCTATCCTAGTGGCGCAACGATATTGCCCGCAACGATATTTTTATGTTAAACGACTATTGGATGTGTGATGTAAGAATATTTTGATCTAAGATTCAATGGCATGAACAGAATTAATTGTTAATTATCCGATTTGTAATCAGTAGCAGTTCTGGATTTCGACTAAATTAGCGGTTTGAACGGTTTGAAGAAGATCAACATCGATCAATAGATCATAGGAGTCGCATGTCCTAAGACTGAAAAGGTTTTTAAGATAATTGTCTCCTAATCGGTTAAATAGATGAAACATTCCGTAATCCATTTAGCGGAAACTTTTTTTAGCTTAAAATCCCCGAATTAAATTTTATTCAGCATTCATTCAACTTCAGGAAATAAATGCAGGTGGATACTTTATTTCACATTCGTATGTAAAAAACCTTAAAGTAAATCCTTCAAATTCTCATGATTTTACCATCTAAGAATTTTAAAGAATTTATCAAGCACGACATGAAATTAGAAAATAGATGCATAAATTATAACATTCGAACATTGAACACAAGAATACATCCTCCATAGAAATGGCAACGTAATTCATTTCGGAATATTTGGAGTCACTGTTAGTTGACACAAATTAGCAGATCAATGAAATAGTATGTATTTCGCAAAATCTACATTTTAGAACAAGGAAAGACCGCATTTTAGATTTCAATACAACCAATATCAAATATGAGGAAGTTGACAGTATGCATTGTTTTTATCATCTTTTGTCGCCAACAAGCAAACAATGCACAAAGTCCGCCTCAAGCAGGTATGCTGTGCAAGAAATTCTTAAAAAGTAGGAAACAAAATTTCATCCTATGGCAATGGGGTAATAAATTAAAGCAATAAATGAAATCTAATACCCATCCAAAAAAATTTTCAAAAATCATTACCTGTTCCATAATGTTATTAAGATGAACCTGGGAACCAATTTCAGTAGCCGAGGTTATCACAGACTATGCAGCTGACAAATTATAGGATGATGGCCAATTAAATAGAGACAGTGAAATTAGAAGAATGTATGTTTAGATCATAGAAAATCACATACTGGCACTATTTAATATTGTGTAATTGCTCATTTCACAAGCATCTTAATTGATAATCTTTTCATTCAAAGTAAGCTTTTTAGCTTCATTCATTGACATCTTTCAATAAAAAGCAAATATAGACAGTTAATTCTGCTTGATGATATAATTATCACCATAATTGCAGCAACATTAACAAATTGTGGCACCACAGAAAATGATATACTATCTGTTTTGGAGAGGAATCTGATGCTTTTCACGAGAAACGTTTTTTTTTTTTAACTTGATAAAGTGATGAACTTTACGAAGTGAAATTAGGACATGCGAAATGTGTAAACAATAAGGATTAATGATCATATCTCTAATAGGGCAAGTTGAAAGGAAGAATATTAAAGATAAAGGTAAGAAAAATCAATCAAATTGACATCAGAACCATAAATTTCATTGAATAATATCTATAAAATTGATTTAATTCTATCACAGCGCGGGTGCTGTTAGGTCATTATTACCTACAACATAATTGACGAATTTCCTATATGTGATACAATCATAATGTCGAGAATCATCTGGGCAGCATAACAAAGCTATCATTTACCTTGTGTAAAGAATCTGGCTTAAAGTGAATACAAAGAGAGTAAGGGATATGAGCTATTCTCCATGGAACCATAGAAGTTTTGAAAATTACAAATGAATACAAATTAGTCATTGATTTACATGTGAAATCTAGTGATCTTTTGTAATGCTGAATGAATTTTAATTCAGAGGCCTTTAAGAAAAAAGTTTTTGTTTAATTGATTAGAGGAAATTGTTGAATGATTAGTAATGAATTGGTCAGGAAGCAATTACTTTCTTGCTAATTAACCGATTAGAGGCCATTACATTCAATACTTAGCACACGCCGCCTGTACAATATATGTCGTGAAAACGAAACC